GGAACAAAATACAGAAGAACATAGAGCTGCACGATACGGAACAAAATGAACATCTTCATATTTTTAAGATAAATCGTGATATACGATACATATCTCGATATTCAAACATCTGCTAAGTTCATGGCTCAAACCAAACAGACATGTTCCTGTTTTTAGTAGTTTACATTCATCTTATAATCTAGCTGTTTTTGTTACTTTTCTTTTTTTAACCATCCTATTTGTTAAAAAATAAATAAAATCTGTATGACGTTTTATAACTGTTTATTGTTGTTGTCCATTGTGTCATCATTCTTTGTTGAAACCAGGTGTCTCTTGTGAATGAGTCACGAGGCTCAATGAGATTAACCTGTGGAAATAAAGTTTGAATTAATTACATTTTTTCCATAAAGTAATAACAAAAATATATTTCTGAGTCAAAGCTTTGTCCCAGTTGTCACACAGACACATTTATTAACAACAGCTGTTATTCTACTAAATGTCTAAAAAATAAAATATTTATTGCACATATTCTGATGCTGCTCAATCATCCAGGTAGAAAAATCTAAAAAGTTCAATCTGGTCCTCTGGACATTCAAAAGACGAAACAAAGTGTAGAAATGTTTCATCTTTCATCCTGAGGACTTCCTCAGTCTGAGGTGCTGTATTCAGCTCAGTCTCTTAAATAGCACCTTCTTAGAGTGGATCAACCAGTTTGCTGCTGACAACCAGAACCAGCTGATCACATGCTCAAGAAGGACCATCAGCCTAACAATGGATCATTAGCACACTGATGGCTGTTTACTGTTCACAGAGGGCTGAGTGATACTAGCAATCACAGCATTGTAAGTAGATATATTAAATAATAATCCTCTTCAGCTGTGCCGCCTTCACAACGTTAGTAAGCGTGTGTGAAGCAGCAGAGTAATCAGGAGGGGGCTCAACACACATCCCTGAGGAGAGCCAGTGCTGAGGGTTATGGTGGAGGAGGAGAAGTTGTGGATCCTCACTAACTGTGGTCTGTTTGTTAAAAAGTCTAGTACCCAGTTGCAGATGGAGGGGCTTAGTCCTAGTGTGAGTAGTTTGTCCATCAGGGTTTGGGGGATCATGGTGTTAAAGGCAGATGTGAAGTCCACAAAGAGCATATGGATGTACGAGTCCTTCTGCTCCAGGTGGTTGAGTGCAGTGTGGACCACAGAGGAGATTGCATCCTCTGTTGATCGGTTCTCACGGTATGCATACTGATGAGGGTCCTCGTTGATGTTGATGGTTGTTTTGATGTGAGTCATGACCAGTTTTTCAAAGCATTTAGTGACTATCGGGGTGAGGGCCACTGGCCGATAGTCATTCAGACCAGTCACTGTAGAGCTTTTTGGGACTGGGATGATGGTGGCAGTCTTCAGGCAGATGGGAACTGTCTCCAGGGTAAGTGAGGTGTTAAAGATGTCTGCCAGCACCTCACAGAGCTGATCAGCACATTCCTTCAACACTTTTCTGGGGATGTTGTCTGGACCAGTTGCTTTGTGCGGATTAATCCTCCTGAAGGTACTCCTTACTTCTGCTGAGGTCACGCTGAGATGCTCTTCATCCAGTGGCGAGGTGAGTCTGGTGCTGGGTGGTCTGTTCGGGTCTTCAAAGCGTGCGTAGAACTTGTTGAGGGCATCAGGCAGAGATGGGTCTTTGGGGCATTGTTCCCTCCTTCCTTTATAATCTGTTATGCACTTAATGCCCCTCCACCTGCTCCGAGGGTCTTGTGAGGTGAATTGACCCTCGATCCTCTGTGCATATGTGGCCTTGGCCTTCTTAATACCAGCAACCAGCTCTTTTCTTGTCCTACTCAGCTCCTCTGAGCTTCCAGACCTGAAGGCAGTGTTCCTGGCTTCCAGCAGGGTACGCACCTCTGCATTCAGCCAAGGTTTTCTGTTGGGTAGCTTTGAACATATCTCATGGTGGAGATTAATATTTACAAAGTTGAGAAGTTTATGTTTATTTGACAGAAATTTAAAAAAAATTTGAAGGCTAAATACAAATAAAAGGTGAACATTAATTTACTTGTACAGTTTTTCTGAGGCTCTGATATTGTTTATATCGTTATTAACCCAAATTAAGAACTATATTGTGATAAAAGTTTAGGTCCATATCGTCCAGTCCTACTTGATAAAGCCATTTAAACCAGTGGAAACAGTAAATCTCATGATACATGGAGTATATTTGATATATCCCCCAGCCCTAGAGCATATGATCATTGTGCTTTCTGGTCTCAGCTCCTTTTAGTCGTGCAGTGGTTCGCTTGGATCAGACATGGATTTAAGAATAAAAGAACAACTTGATACAATTCAAAAACACGTCACAATAATCATTTTAATCCCCTGCGCCCTCCACCAGCATCTCTTTGAATTAAAAAAGTCTTCAGCTGCACACTGAATGACAACTCATAGTAGAGCTTTGCAGATAACCCTGAACATTGTCTTAAAGTGACGGCGTTCAGATTTCTCTGTTTTAACATATTTATGGTGCTATGATTACATGTATGACTTCAGCATGCATCTTAATGCTCAGTGTGTGTGAATCTGATTCTGTCAGACTCCGCCTCACCACAGAAACATCCCTGCTAAAAATAAATGTTGCACTTCTTACTAGACCTGTCACGATAACAAATGTTGCTGCACGATTAATTGTCTCAGAAATTATTGCGATAAATGATAATATTGTTTGAAATTTGACAATAATTAGTAATTATTGTCAAATTTAAGAAGAAATGTTGGTTACTTTTTGTGTGTAGTACCTTTTTTGACCACTGGATGGCAGTATAAACTGTTTGAACCAAAGGATGGATAGTGAGGAAGCGAGCAGTGTGTTGCTTTAATAAAAATGGGAGGGAGGCCCCTTGACGTGACATGGGCTGTTTTTCTTTCCTGTTTTTTGTTCTGGAACAGGTGGACGCTCGGTGTGGTTTGAGCTCTTTAGCACTTCTCACACAAAGCTTTTAATTAAAAATCAGTCAACAAGTTCTCGGCTTGTTTTTGCTGAGAAAAACAACTTTTCACACGAAGGCACGAGTTTTAACTGTGAATTTCAGAGTTTCGACAAGACAGAGGTCTTTTCCTCGAGGTCGGCCTGTTAGCTTAGCTCGTAGCGTAGCTTCTCATCTTAGCTGCTTTTAACGAAACAAGAACATGATTGTGGATCGTTAAAATGGATTTTAAAGAAAAGAGGCTAAAGAGAAAGGGAGGGGTCAGTGAAGAAGCAGAGTTGATCTTTTTTCATCCAGTGTCTTCAGTAGAAAGAGAGACACGAAGAAACGATGAAGCTGATAAATGAACGAGGTCGATCGTTTCCATTTATCGTGCGATTGATTTATGGCGGCAGGCCTACGTTACTTTTTGTTTGGAGGTCAGGAAACTTCTCATGTTGCTGTCACTCCAGAGGTGGAACTGTTAGAAAGCTTGTGCTCAGATCTGTACGTTAGCACACTCTTGCTGTGCTCAATGAGAGGCCGTGAGTTTTGTGCTGCTGACAGCAACAACGTGGTGTTCAGGTCACATGACTTTGTACCTGAGCAGAAGAACCTTCAGCTGCTGCGCTGTTCAGGAAGTCCAGCTTCAGACGCCTCTCCATGTACTCCAGGTCACACTCAGACTTTAGGAACTGAAAACACACGGAGACACTCCTTTAATCTGCTTCCTGCTCACGAGCAGGACCATTCAGCTGGAACGATCTCTGATTAGATTAGATTAGATTAGATTAGAACGCTTGCTGGAGAGAAGAAGAAAGCAAACGCATGAAAGCATGAGACAAGCTGTTCAGAGTTGGGTCGAGGACTGAACAGAACGTGTGCACCTGCTGGATTCTGTTCACAGAATGAAACAACTTCAACAGAAACTCGAGCTGAAGGGACCACATCGTTAATCCTCACAGATTACTCATTATCCCGCAGGTTAGTTTAATCAGAGATGAAACGTCACGTTTCTTTGTCCTGCAAGGAAAGATGTACACAAATATACGGCACTTTGGTTAAATTAAACTAACTTTGTACTTTAGGCTGCTTGTTGTCCGTTATTATAAAACTCTTAATTTAAAGTGATGCAATATTTGAGAGCCGAAGAACTCCACCCACTGCACCAGCTGACACCAGCTGACCCCAGCATGTGATCAGGACGATGATACTACGTCTCTGGAAGTGCTTCACGGACAAATGTCACGTGTTGTCATCACGTGCACATGTAATGTCTATAAATGTGCTGCTGGTTGAGTTTGGATGTTTTAAATGGTGTGAAGAGATCTTTGTTTTAACACCACGACCCTCTCCTCATGGTCTCCCCCTTTTATCGAAAAGGATGAGGGGCGGCGCTCTTTAGACACGTGCACAGATCTTCATCGCACGTTCAGGTGGAGTAACTCAGCTGCTGGTCCGGAGCAGACAGGAGGAGGCGCGGGGTCCTGTCTGACATTTGAAGGATCACTGCATATTCTCAACCCGCCTGACAAAGAGTGGCTGTAAAACTATGAACTAAATAAAACTATAATATTCAACAAAGCTTCCTAACATCACATCAGAGCTGGTCCTTCACGTTTCTGCTTCTGCTCTTTAAAAAAATCTGCCCCTAAAAGTTCAAAGTCATGGGCAATTTTATTAAAACACACAATAATTAAAGTTTTGCACTTTGCATAAGTTCCTGCGCTTTTGTATAATCTGATGTTTGAATCAGTGCAGAGCAGGGAGGAGGAGGAGGAGGAGGAGGAGCAGGGAGGAGGAGGAGGCTCAGCTGATCCCGCTGTGGGATCTACTCATGAAATGAGAACTGATCCTGCACTTAATACACTTATAAATCACACAAAGTGATTCAAAGTACATTTGAAACACAGGTGCTGGTCATAAAATTACAATGTTGTGAAAAAGTTGATTTATTTCAGTGAATCCATTCAAAAAGTGAAACTTGTATATTCGTTACACACAGACTGATATATTTCAAATGTTTGTTTCTTTTAATGTTCATGTTTATAACTGACAAATCAACAAATTCAATTAGTCCTGAAGTGAACGCCCCTTACCTGCAGAGCTGCAGCGGTTTACCTGCAGAGCTGCAGCAGTTTACCTACAGAGCTGCAGCGGTTT